ATATATATATATATATATATATATATATATATATATATATATATATATATATATATATATATATATATATATATATATATGTATATATATATATATGTATGTTCAGAACTCATGAAATGTTACTTGTGTGTGTATGTGGGTACAATGGGAAATATATTTTGGTATTTGTATAACTATAATATCACAATTATGTTTTTTAGCAAAAGAAATTGGTGTCAAAGAAATCTTTTGCCTAGTAATTGGTATAGCGTCAATGATGATGGTCTTATATGCATGTTGCTGCTATTATTCTCGCGCTGTAACCTATTTCCCCGTGTTGAGTTGTACACTCCTGCAACAAGACATTAGAAGTCTGAGATGAGGGTAGCCAAAGCGCCTGCATGAGGGCGCTGCGACAAGGCGAACGGGGACGGAGGCGCTGCGAAAAGAAAAAGAGGGAGGTTAGGTCGTCCCTCTCGATGTTGGCTGTGTGGCCATATTGCTTCACACTCGTCACAAAGGAACAACGAAAGCAGAGCGAAGGGAAATGCTTGAGTCGGAGTGACAAGTGTTGAGATCGTCTCTCATTGTTCAAGTATAGCAACGAGGTGACAGCATCGAGCCGCAATCTAAGAGGCCCCGATTTGAGGACGAGGATCATCATATTGTGTGGTGATACGGATCGTCGCTTGACAAAAGGTGACGCCAGTGAGGGCGTCCGCCGACACGTGTGATAAGTTGTGCCTTTGGTGACTTCACACCGAGGATGAATAACGTCGGTTCGCACCAGTTTCGTCGGGTGGCAGTAGATAGCTGTTCGGTACACATATGTGGAACCATGCAATTGAGGCACGGTTGATATCCGCACAGAGATGGTCAGCTTTACAACTGATGACCTACGTGCTGGACAACAAACGGACAAGTGCTCCGTTTTTTTTGCATAATATAGTTGACTCTTACAAAAGAGACTCTGATAACAGTGTTCGGCTATCGGCTCGAAGATCCTAAGATCGGCTTAGGATAGAGAGCGGCGACTATGATAACATTCAAGTCGCTGAGAGGACTTATCAAAAGGACAAGTCATAGAAACGACTTATAGCTAATATGAACTCTGACGGCATTGTTTCATATTACGCATAAGAACCTAAAGTAAGAGGTTCACTACGTTGATAATCACCTTAATTACCTAGGTCCATATGGTTTATAATGTTCTATTATATAAGGGAGATCAATAAAGAAAGAAGGAAATCGACATGTTCTAGATTCATTTCCCTGAGCACATCCAAATCTAAAGATTTTATATGAGTTGGTTTTCATCATACATTAACAATGTATATTGAGTTTATTTTATTAGATTGTGTTATATTGCGCTTCAAAAGTTGTTTTATTGTTTAGAGATGTATTGTGAATAAGAATAATATATACAATTTTGGATTATATTTAATTTTCCACATTTTTCCCGATATTTCATGCAAAAGACAATATATCACATTACTTTTTATTTCCTCTACAGCATAAACGTCCAAATGTTCTAATAAAAATGGTTGTGAATATAAAATATCTGTTTTCCTCAATTAATAATTAGTAATATTAATTTTATTATTTCTGCGGAAGATAAGAAAGTGCTATTTCAAAGACCGGGATCTCGCCTGTACCACCAAGGGCGGGGTTCCGAACCGAAAGACTGTCCACGGCGATGTCGCGCAAGTGTTCCGAGGTGTTAGGACCTCTCTTGTGGGACATTGTTTACGACAGAGTGCTACGCATGTTGCTCTCCCCGGCTCACATGTCATCTGCTACGCGGATAACACACTTATCATGGCCGGGAAGAGGGGGGGGGGGGCAACTGGGATGAGGCACTAGTCCTCGGAAAGGTCACAGCGTCAAGCAGTGACAAGCGTCATCCAGGCCATGAGGAGCTTAGGACTGCACGTGGCATCCCATTAAACTGAGATTATATTCTCCCATGATGGAGAACATAAGGTATAGGCACCTGCCAGGCTCCTGGTGAGCCCCCGTTCGGGTATAGGTCTAGATGAATATCTGGGCTTCCTGCTGGATGGCAGATGGAAGTTCGTCGCTCAGTTTCAGCATGTGGCATCCAAGGTTTCACAAGTCGGCAACGCCTTTGCCAGTCTAATGCGGAACATTGGAGGCCCCAGCTGGAGAATCCGCCGCCTCTATTTGAATGTGGTGGTATCCGTGGCCATCTATAGCGCACCGGTTTGGTCAGGCACCCTACAGATTTCCAGCCGTAGTAAATGGCTTTTTCGGAGCCAGTGCTACAGCTCCATGCGGCCGGTGGCACCTCATAAAACGGAGACTATATTCTTCCATGATGGAGAACATAAGGTATCGGCCAGGCTGAGAGTCGCAAGGGGCTACCGTATTGTATGCTACGAGGTGGCGGCGGTCCTGATTGGACTTCCCCCCTCTGTAGTCCCTCATCCAGCAATACGCTGAAACTTATTAGCGCCTGGCGAGGTTCTGGAGGAAGAGAGTGGTGATCACGACCAAGAACAAAGTGGCGGCGAGCCTCCGTACAAGGGCACGGGCGATAGTTCGGTGAAGCGAGTATCTCTCGACTCTCAGGTTATTCAGGTCCCGCACAACGGAAATCACCTAGCCTTACTTGCCCGAGTAGGTAGGCAGACGAGGAAAGAAACTGACCTTCCAGCTGGCGCATGCCCTTCCGGGCATGGTTGTTGGCAGGTCACGGCGAATAGGCCGGCAGGTCACGGCGCATTGCTATTATTACGGCCATGGTCGAGACATGACGCAGTACACGCTGGAGAAATGTCTAACGTGAGCAAAATGAGTCAAACTGACTCCGATGGAAACAATCCCGCGTCTGTCTCAGAGGAGGAAAAAGAACGCTCACTATAACGTGGGGAGTGGATTAATCCTCCTCCAAACAAATAGCCTTGCGCCCTCCCGGGAGGAAGCCAGAAAGATGTGGGGAGACTCTATCCTGGTGCGAATTCATCCCTCCGCTTTACCATAAGTCAGCCCCCCCCCCAGAAGAAGACAAACGGAGCTCAACCTGGGCGGTGAATCTGCCGCCCGAGGAGCCGGGATACGCGGTCCCTAGCACGGAGGTAAACCCAGCAGTAAAGAGGGGGTCGACTAGTCACTTCAGGGGCAGGGAGCCGGGGGAAGGGTATTTCCAGCAGCAGTTCCTCACATAACGCTTCGTAGAAGGCACTCCCCAGAAATTTTAGCCGGTAAGAGTCCGGCCTAACTCACGCCCCTCCCCAGAGAGCGCAGGTATTTATGAGGATTTCCCCTTGGTTAATAAAAAAAAGTTAAATAAGTTAAGTTAAATAAGTTAACTTCTAACTTGAATTTAATTAATTTTTACACATTAGCTTTAATCTTGTTCGCTTTTTTTTAAGTTAAGTTAATTTATTTCATTAATATTAAATTTGCGTAAAAATCATCGGTCGCTTTAACAGACAAGTATAAGACAGTATTCATAACCAAATCTTATATTTATGATCGCTTCAAATTTATTTTTAGATGCTGAACAGATCGTTTTATTGGCTACAAAGCATCTGGAAATGAATTTGAGATCATTTTTAATAAAAATCGGACTATGGCTATGGTCTGATTTATGCTTTCAGCACGCTTATGCTACAGCTCTACAAACGTCATTCTATCTTTTCTGTTCATTACATGCCAAACAAGGATAGAATAAAGCTTCCCTAGAGAGAAACGTGAGATCGGATAGATGTTTAATAGACGTCGGAGGCGTCGAGTCTAAAATAATGTCAACAAATAATATACGTAGACGTTATCTTTGTATTATTGTGTCGCTCGCTCGCTCTTCGAACCGTCAAACAGCTGTTCGCCATTCGCACTTTTGGTACCCGTTCGCTCGCGGATTCGTACGAAGAGTTCCCTTTGTCTCGGGAGCTCCTCCTCAAAATATTGTTTCCCCTCGCGTTTCCCCTCCTTACGATGCTTCGGCAGATATCAGCTTCATCCGGCTCCCACCTCGGGTTTGCGGATCGCGGTATCTGTCCGGGGTGGTCTTGTCGCCTCTTAGCGTCGGCCTAGAACTTTCTGGCCTGCGGCGATCCTCTCGTGACCCGTCAGTTCTCGGATTCGCCACGTTCTGCTGGTCTGCCGTCTGTCGCCTCCCCCGTTATCGACAGCTCCATGACACCTGCGGAATAATATATATCGGCTACGACAGCGTGCCCTGCCATTTGGCGGTATTAATTTCTATTGGAGGGGAGTCACCTGTTCTCTTGTGACCTCCCTCGACTTCTCGGCGACGAAGTCTCCTCCGCAAGCTTGGTTTCTCTGTCGCCGGTAGCTCCTCTTCCTGTTTTCGGGTCACGGAAGCACTCGCTACTTCTTACAGAACATACTCGAAGATTGCCCTCTGCGCCTCCCCCTTCGAACCGGTAGAGCGGCACATGATAACAAATGATTGCGACAACTCTTCTGCGCTCCTATTCTATCTTGTGACGGACGCTCGCTAGCCACCACGTCAGGTTAAAACAACTACTTGAGAAAAATAAACTTTTTCATTTTTATGGAATAATTTCTAAGATATGAGGTATATGAAAAAATGTTCCCTACAAAAGTTTTACAGTATTTAATACTCTTTGCAACGGCGTGTCTCGTTTTTTTTTATATCAAATTGTTTATGCCTCCCACCCCTTTTTACTCGTTACGTCCTGGTGAAGAACGCAACGTGACAAAAACCTTGGCCGTACATGTAGGTCGAAAAACGCGTCAGCGACCAGAAAGGTCGTTTTACACGGGTGTCGACGTACGGCGAGTGGTCCTTTTTCGATCAGAGAACCGAATTTTTTTATCGCGGGACGGACCAGGAGCGGATAATCGAAGGAAAAAGGGGTTGGAAAATGAAGATGAAATTTGGAATAAAAATTTAAATTCGGAATTTTAAATAACTCTAATTAGTTACATTTATTTCCTCGCGGCTCTTTACAATTTCTATCGCGATTAATTACTATCGAAAGGTTACAGTATCAAAATTATCGGGTACGCGTGTGTAAGTGTGTGTGCGTGCGTGCGAATGTATGGAGTGAGGATGAGTGTTTAATTTAATTGGAGGGTGGAGACGGAGGAGAATAACATAGAGGAAGAGATGTAGGAGAAGATGGAGGCGGTGAGAAAGGATACGGATCTGGTGTATGTGGCAGTGGTTGGAGTGGAAAGAAGGGTAAATTGTAAAATTCGTGTGAAATTGTTACGAATTATCCGGCATCAAAAATTCCGAACGATCCACCGGGATTATTGCGATTAGTCAACGTGGGAAAAAAATAATAAAACGGGGGAAGAAAAGTTCTAGCAAAGAAAACTTGTAAAACTTACTTTTGGTTAAATCTTGTACTTTAATGTGGGATTTAAGGATGATCAATGGACTCAGTCAATTCGTGGGCGACGTTTCTTCAAACTCCCTTCAGTTTTGGCGCGGTTGCACTTGCTAAAGAATGGATGAAGTGAGAGTGACTGCCTGTTCCGACGATATGTAGTGACGAAGAGACGAAGAGTGCCTTGACGAAGTGGATTGAAGTGCGTCGAAGAAGCAGGGAGAAGAGAGCAAGCACAGCGCGGGGTCGCGGTTTTATAGGATATCAGCTGGAGATGGTTTGGTAAGAAAAATATGAAATTTCAGGGATACTAGATGTTAGATTCGTTAAAGGAGGACGGCATGGGGTATTGTTGCAGCCAGTAATATGTGAGTAGATAGGGTTAAGGAAATTTCTTTGGCTGGAGTTGTGGGTGGAGAAAATCGTATGTTTAAAAGAGATAGTAATTGGAGGATTTTAAAAAGTGGTGAGAGAATCTTTGGATAGGGCGGAAGAGGGTGATGCAAGTTGGAAAGTATAACGGATATATTTTTTTGTTGTCTGGCAGCTCCTTTTGATCTCATGGATAAGATTCGGCGGACTGTACCTTGAGGATTAAGTAGTTTTTGGTTCCGTATTTTCCAGGGTTATCTGGGATTACAGTTGGAATTTTTATTGGGAAAGACAGGAAAACCGATTATGATTTGGAACTGTTTGTCGGATCCCGACAGCAGGAAGGAAAGATAAATTGTATAACTCACGTCCGCACAAGACGTAACAATATAATCCATCCATATATAATAGTAAAAGTTGGTCTCACATTAATCATTGAAAAACGTCATGATAACATCATGCTATAGGCGCCACATTGTCCAAGTAGATTGGTACTATAGATAAATATGTTACTGTAGGTAGATGAATATAATGAATTGCAGAAAAATAACACATAGACAATTGCATATATTTAATATATAATGTTTATAATGTATACTGTGTGTATATTATTATATTGTTGCGCTCACGCTTTTAAAACGAGAAGCTTTAATGTACAGCGAGACACGTCTTTACAGGCTCAGAATTAATACCGTCGAAAACACGACCACTCGCGACTACGTCTCGCTGTCAACTCTCCTTGACAGCCGCTGTTATTCTCGTTACTAACCAAAGCTCGTTCTTCTGTCTCATCAATACCGGGATCATCAAAAAGATCGAACCATCTCTAGTAGTGCGGACGCAACATTGTCCCCCCTCTCTTCAAATTGTCGTCCCGATAATTCAAGAGGGGGCTTTAGGAGATCGTTTTCCAAGGGCACCAAGATGATATCCTATTCTACTCTGAGCTACTGCAGCAGGTTATCGAGCTTCATCAGGTTCCAATCAATTTTCCTCTAGAATTCCGATACTGACTTCCAGGCACCAAGATGGCTTCCTGCTCCAGTCCGTGCTGCTGTTTCAGACCCTGCAGGCACCATCCTTCCAGGTCCAAGTCAGATCTTCTAGTAGGTCAAAGGGGTCGACGCTCCTCCAACCGTTGTATCCAACCGTTGCGTTCCCAGTCTTCGGACAAGGGGGGAGGGGTAGTACCCATACCAAACGTTCTTTGGCAAGAACACTCCAGGTCCCCGCCCCGTCATTTGCCCAATGCCCCACGGGAAAACCACGATCAAAAACTGTGGGTGGAGCGGTCTTCTCTGTCGATTCAAACAAAACTTTAAAGATAACTTCTTTCGATGAAACCAACAGCAAATCTTTTTCTAAAACAAACAAAAGAACAGAAGCGCGTATCCATTTTCGGAAAGTCGCTACCATTAACACGGCACAAATCAAGCATATTAATTCTTTTACTCAAAACCGGAAAACACAAAAGAGCAAACACGAATGCATAAACTTCCTATTTCTAGTTCGCAATGCGTGCCAATGTTGGAACCGCACACGCAAAATGGGGTCCAAACCCTTTCCACCGAACCGGCCCCACGAAGCTTGGCAAAATTCAATTTTCCTTTCGCTGTAACGCCGGGCATTCTGAACGGAAATGTATTCCCACAATGCCAACATTCTTTTCCCTTAAAACCTTTACTCCTTTCATTTTTTCCGTTCTTCCTCTCTACGCCCATTTCCTTCTCTCTTTTTCCTTTTCTCTTTTTACTTCAATTTCCCTTTTATCAAAACGACGAAATTTAGCTACGCAAAAATCCGGCTATAGCACTTAAATCTCGTTCTAACATATGTATATCTAAAAGTATAACTATTAGCATATGTTTAACTATACAGGGTGTCCCATTTTAAATTACGCATCTAAATATCTCGTCAGGGAAGCCATCAATCCGAAAATAACCCTTACAAAAGTTGTTGGGTTCGGAGGAGGAGATCGGATGATGATTTTCAAGTTCACCTTGACCTTGACCTTCAAGGTCATTTGAAGGTCAAATCGAATTTTTAAATAGAAACCCCTATTTTTTATCCCGAATTCGGAAAGAACGCAAAATTTTACGTTTGGATGGTACTTGAGGCTATTCTTTGGAATGACCTTCAGAGGTTATTTCAAGGACAAAATATTTGAAATTACGCACCTGAATACATATCTTGTCGGGGAGCCACCAATCCAAATAACTCTTACAAAAGTTGTTGAGCTCGGAGGGGGACATCGGATAATGACCTTCAATTTCACCTTGACCTTGACCTTCAAGGTCAAATCGAATTTTTTAAATAGAAACTTTAAAGTTATGTTAAGAGTCGAAATGACCTTTAAAGATCATTTCAAGGTATCGAACCGCTTACAAGTCTAGTATGACCTGAAAACCAAAATTGATCGTAGTTTGTTTTTTAAGATATTTGAATTAGTAGTCATTCGTATAAAATAAAATTGTTTACACCAGTGCCTGCGTTCAGTCATCGACATAATACATACATTGATGTCCAGGGCCCACGTTGATTGTGTTTCAACGAAGATTTGAATTTACATAGACATTTAAATTTTGTAAAAATGGGTTCATCAGTGTGAGTTTGATATACAAGTTCTCATATCTTGAATTTTTTTTTCCTAAACGTTATTAGCACAAAAAAAATTAATGTATTATGTGCGCAACTAAGTTATCGCTGTTTTTTTTATAAAAATGCAACTTTATTGTGAAAAAATGGTTACAAATAAATTATTCAAAGTATTTCCCATCGCTAGGTACAACTTTTTCCCATCTTTCGAGCAGAGCTCGAATACCGTTACAGTAAAAGCGTTCGTCTTGTGAGGCTATCCACGAATCAAGCTATTTCTTGATGTTTTCATATGAGCGGAACTGCTGATCAGCCAGACCATGTGCCATCGAACGGAACAAATAATAATCGGACGGCGCAATATCTGGGGAATATGGCGGGTGAGATAGGACTTCCCATTTGAGCGTTTCCAAATAGGTTTTAACGGGTTTGGCAACATGAGGCCGAGCGTTGTCATGCAGTAGAATCACTTTTTCGTGCCTCTGCTCATATTGTGGCCGTTTTTCGCGCAGTGCTCCGCTCAATCGCATCAATTGAATTCGATACCGTTCAGCAGTGATGGTTTCGTTCGGTTTCAACAGCTCATTATAAATAACACCGACCTGGTCCCATCAAATACACAGCATAACCTTCGCAGCGTGAATATTCGGCCGAGCCGACGATGTAGAAGCATGACCGGGCAGTCCCCATGACTTTCTTTTCTTTGAGTTGAAATAAGAAAATCAACACTTCCCGCAAATGACGATTATTTGGCACAAAATCAGACATTTTCACACAACCAAAAGTATATGACGCCAAAACAAAATCACTAACGTGTCAAAGCGGTTTGTTTACCATATGTCTAAGCTTGGTTCATGACATTTTGGATATGTCAAAATCGACCAGCACTTACTGCTGGAGCCATCTATTGACAAACAGCGGGAACTTAGTTGCGCACCTAATAATTGTGCAGAACGTGCCGGAGCCTATTCTCATTACAAAACTGTGGCTCTTTGTGCTGTGCGGTTAAGTTAAAATTGTTTTCTTTGTCGATGTTTAGTACTATCAGCGTGTATTTCATGATGAATTGTTGTAATTGGATACATATCTCAAATTGTAAAACTTGATAATAATGGTAGAATATTTGAAAATTTAATAAGGTAAACCCTAATAATAATAATGATTCTTGCCTTAATCGGCTGGTTTTTCTATGGTCTTGCCTTAGTAGGCCGGATAATGAATCTTGCCATCATTGGTCGGGTTCGTCGCGGTCTTGCCTTCATCGGCTGGACCAAAATAGGGCCCTAAAATCCATTCTGCTACGTCATCGCCGTGGGCCCTGGATATCGATGTATGTATTATGTCGATGACTGAACGCAGGCTCTGGTGTAAACAATTTTATTTTATACGAATGACTACTAATTCAAATATCTTAAAAAACAAACCACGATCAATTTTGGTTTTCAGGTCATGCTAGACTTTGTGACCGTTTCTCCGTTCGTTAGACGCAAGAAGACGACCAAAACTTCGTCTCCGCCGTTGCGGCGACGGCCGAGCTTGCCGGCAGCTCTCAAAA